GGGGAAAGATTCTCTAAAAGATCTTTGACCTTTATCATTTTTTCTGAGGCTGAGAAACACCCAGGCACAATGCATGTTAGTCAGATTAACCTCTGGTACAGTGAACTATCTTTGATATTTGAGAATTACCGAGCCACTCAGAATTAATTCAACTTCAGACAAATTGGATAGTCACCCTCCAGCAGCTCAAATGTTTAGGAGGGTCACTTCACAGATCCACTTTTAATAATGCATCTGCATTTTAAGACAATACTGAAAATGTCACATCACTTTACTTTTTGATGGATATGCCATTAAATTTGAAGGTTCACTTATTAATACTTCAATCTATTACTTGAGTTGAAAATTACATATAATCTGTTTATATGTAAATCTTTAATGGATATATGAATTCAAGTATATATAATGCTTTCAGCATCTTTCATTGGCTTTGGGCCCCATGGGCAGCAACTCATTCCATTTTATCCAATAGGTCTAAGTATTTATAGATTCATAGTTTGCTAGGGGTTGGAGGGGACCTTGTAGACCATTGGGTCCAGTCCCCGTGCACTAGGCAGGAAATGACAACCGGGGTCAAGTGACCCCAGTGAGGTGAGTGCCCAGTCTCCTTTTGAAGATTTCCAGGGTAGGTGACCGCGCCACCACTGGAGGGTTTTTTCCCACTGTCTGGACACCGTGATGGTGAAAGAGTTTTTCCTGGAATTGAGCCTGAAGCAGCCTTCTAGGACTTTGTATCCATTGCTCCTGGTCTTCCCCAGGGATGCCCTGATGAACAACTGTTCACCGAGTTCTTGATGTACTCCCCTGATATATTGATAAGCCGCTACCAAGACCCTTTCCATGTCCTTGTTGAAGTGTGGCACCCAGAACTGGATACATTACTCCAGCTATGGTCTCACCAGTGCAGAGTTCAGTGGGAGTATCACTTCCTTAGTTTTGCATGAGATGCAGTGGTCAATGCATGCCAGCGTGTTGTTTGCCCTGCTGGCCACAGCATCACACAGCCTGCTCATGTTCAGGTGATGGTCAATTACTACCCCTAGGTCCCTTTTGGCCGTGGTGCAATTCAAATTGTTGCCACTGAGCCTGTAGGTATGTTGTGGACTGTTTGCCCACAGATGAAGCACCTTACACTTATGAGTGTTGAACCTCATCTGGTTCTGGTCCACCCAACTCTCCAGCCTGTCCAGGTCTGCCTGTATCTGCAACCTATCTTCTGGCATGGCCACACTCCCCCATCACTTGGTGTCGTTCGCAAAGTTGGCCAGCGAGCTTTTCACCCCCACATCCAAATCATTGATAAAGATGTTGAAAAGGATCAATCCAAGCATAGACCCCTGAGGGACACCACTAGCCACTTCTTGCCAGGATGACACAGATCCATTCATGAGAACTCTCTAGGTCCTACCATGCAGCCAGTTTTCCACCCACTGAACTGTTGAGCAGTTAAGCCCTCAATTGTTCAACGAGCTTTAGATAAAGCATCCCTGTTGCCATTTTGAAGTGTGTGGATGCTCCTACATGACACATGGAGGCTAGCAGCAGTACAGTAATTACCAAGCTCCAGCAGACTCAATTAATCAAGTCTGCTACACCGCACTATAATTACACCTGTGCAGGTTCAAATTTTTAATCTGATTTCTCTCTGAGAGTGAGAAAAAACAAACAAACCACAAGATGTAGGCCAGTGTTGATACTCAGTAGTGTAACCAGGAATGAGTGAGACTTTGGTATCAATTTAGAAGGGTACAAGAATGGTGACTACTGCTGCCAGTACCGAGGTGCCAAGACAGCCCCAGCCACCAGTTCTTCCCAGGGCACATAAAATCTGTTGAACCTTAATAGTTCCTCTATTTAAAATATAACTTAAAGACTCGCATGTAAAATCTTCCATTATCTTCTAAAAAACTTAACTTACATTACCAAAATGTGAAGCTTTTTTAGAAATAAAAACATGCAGATATAATCTGTTTTGACATTAGCCTTGAGGAAACACATATATTCTACTGTTTGATTGATCAGAAGCTAAAATAACCCAGTTTACACAGATGTCTTAACTATCGCCTTTTAAGTAATAGAAAATAGTTGAATAGTTAAAACAATTGTTTTTCATCAGAGAAGATACTTTCTCATGAACATTAAATTCATGCTAAGAATCTTTTTCTTCTCCTGATGCTCACTTTTCTTTAACACTAAATTTTGACAATTTTTGTGGATTTTAGAATTGCAACCTCAGTCCCTTCTGCTCCAAATTATACATAAATGCTCAGGAAGGCAGTAGAGACTTTACTCTGAGTTATAACTATCTATTAGTTATGATAAGCAATCTTCATTTGGACCATTTCATATTACAATCTTATAGTGTTTTACCAAGGTGTGATGGCGATGGGCCGCCGTCAAGGACACAGGCAGAGGACAGACAGGATTGGGGGGCAGCAACACCCCTTCTAGAAAATCCTGGGCCGAGATACTTACCTTCGGGAGCAGCGTCGGCGTTGGAGCCGGGATCACGGCAGCAGCCACAGCCGCCATTACAGCTGCGTGAGCCGGTGCTACGCCGGCTGTTTAAACAGCTGTTCCTGATAAGGGGAACAGCTGAGCCAATCGCAGCAGCTGCAGCGGCTGTCGCGGGAAGTTTAAAAACCCCAGCAAACCCCGTGGGAAGGGGGAAGCCAGAGGAGGATAGAGGAGGCGTGCAGCACGTTGCTGCCGCTGCAGCTTCCCCAGAGCCAGAGCCGCCGGCAGGCAACGGGGCATCAGCCCAGCAGCTGAGGAGAGAGCTGGAAACTCCGGTGGGTGCAGGAGGAGTGATCCCCAGGGGTTACCGGGACCAGAGTAGCGACTCGGGAAGTCTCCCCATTCCCGAGGAGTATTATTTCTGAGAATAGGGGAGAGAAGACAAGAAGTGACCGGAGCTAGCGGCCGGGTCAGGCGGAGGCTAAGCCAGGCTGCCTGAAGATGACCGGTGGCCTCGGGACGGCCTGTTAGTAAGAAGGTCCGCAAGTAGTGGCGGACGACCATACCATCGCCAGGTGACCGGTTGGTGAGTGGACGGGGTGTAGGGGTGGCGGAGCCCCGTGGAACATCTGAGGACCCCACCGTGAGTACCCTCCCCGTTGGGCAAGTCCCTCTGGTAGAAGATCTCCACTGAACCCCCTCCTTCGAATCACTTATACCATCCAAGTCGTGGCAGGCGGGATGAGGTGGGAGGGGCTACCGGACGAAGGGTGGTACCGGACGTGAGGCCCACCGACGTCACACAAGGTCAAGTAATATGTAATTTAATATTGAGAAGGCACTTATATTTCTCTTAGGACCCTAGATGGCACAAAAAGATTTAGTAGTTACAGTGGGAACAGCCAGGTATACAGGTAACTTCAACAGTGCATCTTAAATGAACACTGCATTCATTCAAGGTCAACAAATTCTCTGAGGGAAAAAAAAAAGTTATCCAAAACAGGAGATCTGAAGAAGAGCGTAGATATTGTTTTTCAAAGCACCATCCAATTTTGTCAGCATGCAATGTCACGACACATATGCAGAGGCTGACTTTTTTTCAGAGGCTGCATAAACAATAGCATATTCTATGGACAGGATTATTGAAAAGGTCGTAAGAAGTCAACCACAGATAAGACAAAAACATTGATCCTATAAATGCGCTATATAGAAATGAATAAAGAAAAAGGATTTCTTTTCTCAGTCTATGTTTAAGTTAATAGTATGAGCCTTGTATTGTGAAAAGCAATTTTTAAAAATTACACAAATAGTAAAGTACCATTTTATAGACCATAGATGATAATATTCTTCAGACTCTACCAAATACCACCAGAATATTACTAAACTATTTGGATTGTGATAGTGCTTCTCCAGAAGTAGCATACTGAACTTCATGATAATTCTTAGCTATTGATAGGCTTCAAAACATTCAGGTGTGATAGCAGAACATCTTCCTACACCTCCAAAACATGAATTGGAGCCTTGCTCCAGACTTGTGCTGAAGATTTCCCCCAGTTGATCCAGCTTGAAATAGCACCTGATCTTTTAAGAGGGAGAGTCAAAGGTGGCCAGAAGTGATAATAGTTGCATCACTTCCTTTTGTTTCACTGGATATATAAAATGATGTGCTGAAAATATACTAAACTGATAGGCCAATCACCCCTAATTCAGCTTTGTATGTCAGTGGGAGAACTGTTTTTTTTTAAGAATGGAGGTTTTACTTTGCTTTGGCGATCAAGAGGTATGTAAAAGAAAATTAGTGGACCAAATTATGTGCACATGTATCTGAAGGCATCTTCTGTCAAATATGCCTAAGTGTGTTTGGTTTTCCACTCCTTGCTACAAATAGCATAGTTTATTACTTTTTCTTTATTACTGTTTTACTTAAAAAACAAATATTTTGCATACTTTGGTAGAAAAAGTATATCGATATTTGATCTCGACTGATTAAAGTTAGCACCTAAGTCTACAATTTGATAATTAAATGCTGAGTTTTTTAAAATGTAAAATAGGTGTGTATTGATTAAGCAATTTGGATAAAAATGGCTAATCTTAGACAAACTAGCAATTTGAAAAGGTTTTATTTTATTTATTAACTTTTCACTTCAGGTCTTTGCCTGTCTGTACATAAGAGTAAGTGGTACCACACCTTCAGCTGGTCAAATAGGTCATATCACCACTGAGATACACTGGGTTATGATGTATCACTTACAGTGCTCAGGAAAACCAAGATGTGAATTGACACAGCAGATGTTAACATGTGTGTGATATAAATACACACACACACACACACACATACATACACACACACATTCACATATATATGTGCGTGTACCTGTATAATAATGTATAATAATATAATCATATATGTAAGTTAATATCTACTATCTCATAATTCATGCCTCAGTTTACCTCAGTGTTCTACACGCATACACACATGCACACTATAAACTTAAAGAAATATAAAGAAAAACAAGGATATGCTAGGAGGACAGAATGCTGTGTTTTTTTGCAAACTGGTGAGAAACAGACCAGAAAGTTTTATACTTGTCCCCCAGTGACTGAAGTCTATGAAGGGTCAGTTCTGGCAGATGGTCACACGTTTCTTAACGTGAATAGGATAGGATCACTCTTCACTTATCTGGTAGCTTTCTTCTACCTCTTCAGTCTTGATATTCCCCCTGGGATCAGTGTGTTGCACATCAGATGGTACTTTGAGGGGGCCATAAAATGCCTGCAAGATGACTCGTACAATATCACTCAGCTGAAGCTGCTGGAAGGAAGGTTCGTTTTGGATGTTGTAAGATGTTAAGGTGCAGGTGCCATTCAGCTGTTTACAGGTAAAAATGAATCTTTGCTCATCAAGTTCACTGTCTTCCAGGGTGTCAGTCTTGATTTGGATGTTTGCTTTGGCATTCCAAGTGTTGTCTTTGGGCTCCACTTTCAGTGAGATGGCAGCCAAAGTCTGATTTTTCAGAGAGATCTTCATATTCTTTGTAAATGAATAATATTGCATTAATGTTAGTTCAGAGCAGCAATACTAATTTTAAACTTGTTTGTGAGGGCTACTGTAATCAATACAGTGGCACAGAGCATCATTTATACAAGACTCAGTATTTCTTCACACAATGGAGGGATATCTATGGCAGTTCCAGTTTAAACAAAAGAATCTTAGATTCTATGGTGTTGTCACTATGCATAATAATATTTTAAAGTAATTATTCTCTATTGCACTTTATCATACAGAAAGTGACCCAGAATCCCTTTCCACATAATATGCTTTACAGCATCTTTGTGATGTAAAAAGTCCTTAAAGTAATTTACACTCCCTTTAAATTTGTCCTTTCTTAAACAGCCCTTTACATTGGCAAAAAGTGGTTTAAAGTAGCATTAATATAAATTGGAACCAGGACTGCTCTCTTCAGATGCATTATCAAACCACCTGAATTCTCGACCTGCAGAGCAGTGAATAAACCTTAAGTTACCTCATCTTTAACCAGTATATACAACTTTTAAAAATACTTCTTCTAGAGCTTAGCACATAAGCATTAAAGGCTGTACTCTCCTAGTCCCCTTCATATTAATTTCCTGCTTCTCACAAAGTCCATTGATTTCAAAAGAGCTACTCAAGAAGCATGGTGCTAAAACATCAGCAGAATTCTGCCCTACATTCTAGCTTTATTCAACACATTGACCCTTCCACATAATTGTCTGTCCAGCCTAGCAGCAGTAGTTAAAACATGCTGGTTAACCAAGTACTAAATCAATGTGCAGTAGTGAAGCTTACTGCATAGTAGTCTAATACTAGTGCACAGTAGCATATTAGCATGGTTTTTGCCCAGCACATTACTGTGCAGTGTTATTAGGCTACTGCACAGTTAGCATCTTGTGTAGATGTGCCCACTGCAACTTAAAGAAAAATGCTGTTACCCACCAGGCAGTAATCAGGAGCAATCTCCTTGGCCAGCTTGGCAATCAGCTCAGCTTTGTCAAATTCAATTTTTAGGTGGGTAACTTCTGATTTAGTAGCTGGAATGGGTTGGGTAAATTCAGTAGCTCCTTTTTCAAACATGGTGACCATCTTGGCCTCACCAATTGTAAAAGTCAGCCTGGTGCTGAAAATCAGTATGCAGAACATTACAATCAAGCCAAAAATCAAAATCAGCCCAGCCAAAAGGGCAAACAGCAAAAACAGGAGAGTATTTATGATGTTCATGACTGCAAGATGTTCTCATCTGGAAAAGGTAGGAATGCATCCTTCAGAGAGCAGTACAACTTTGTATCATCATTGTAATGGCCTCTCAAAGCTCTGCCCAGATCATCTGTGCTCAGACCAGGCCTGGCTTACTATCAGCGAAGTTTTGCTACATCACAATTGGTGACATGAACATTTGCAATACAACCGCCTTACCACCACCTTGAAGGACTTTTCATTTACAGCTTAATTCTTTGTCCTTTCTCCTTTTAACCAAGCCTTCATGTGAAGCTCTCTCTAAAGAAAGCCAAAAATGAAATAATCCTCATTAAAGCAGCTGGCTTCCTTAGAACATCAGAGTCCTTTACATTCGGAGGCAGATCCAGAGGGAGTGCAGCAGTGTGACCACATCCCCCTTTCTGACCATGCAGCAGGAGCAGCAGCCTGGGACATATTAAAGTCCCAAAGAAGGTAAGCATTGTCCGCTCCTTTCCCCTCCATGATCAAAGGCACAGCCTCTCCCCTCCCATTCCCTCCCACCCCTCTCCTGCCTGCCACTGCCAGTATCCCTGCTATCCCAGGGGCAAGAGGAGCTGCTGCCAAGCTGCATGGGAATTGGGGTCAGCCTTGGATACCTGCAGTGGAGGTGGACAGGTTGAGGTTCCCTCTCCCTGCCTTCTCCCCTCAGGTGTTCCCCATCAGCCTATCAGTAGGGACAAGGAAGGTAAACCTTCATGCACCCACCACAGGGGCGGGGTGAACAGGAGGGGAGAGGACCAAGAAGGGAAGGGAGAGAAAAGGAAGAGGGGTACGTTTACCTTCTTCAGGTATTAAAGTCTGCAGCTGCTGCTTCTGGGGCATGGGCTGTCTGCCGCAGTGGGGAAGAGGGAAGGAGGTGGCTGGGAATAGGGTTGCACCCCTGCATCACTGGTCACTGCACCTCACTTTATAAAGTCCTGGATCTGCTTTTGCTTACAGTAGATACATATTCAGTAGCTCACTCGGTGATGATGTATTTGAAAAAAACAAACAAACCCAAAGTATTCTAAAAAGGGGTTAAGGTGCTTACTTTTCCCACCTTATACAAAACCACGTGCTGAAAACCTAGAAAGCAAAATTATAAGGAAGCCTGAACTTTCCACATCATAAACAAGGAAGAGAACAAAACAGCATAGCTTCACTGGCTTAAAGGAAGGTATTCCAATATGACCAGCTGAGAATCAGGCTAGTTTTTTCCCAGGGGTGGATCAAAAAGGCAGTGCACTGGTGCAGCTGCACTCCTCTGTGATTTCTGCTCCACCTAAAGTTTAACCCAACTGCCTGGCAATGGCAGTTCTGTTCAAGCAGCAGTGATGGAGTCAAATGATGTCATAATTCATTATTATTGACCTGATTCATTCTAAACTCTTGGTTCCACCAGTGTTGACAACCCTCTCTCCTTTTTAATGGTCTTGATGTTCCACTAACCAAGCTGTCTTTTGTTCCGCAATTCTTCTCTGTTATGGCTCCTAGTAACATAGCTCCTATTTCATAATCCTGAAGACTGTTTTTAACTCATTCTAATCAAGTTATATTTGTTTTTATATCAATCTTAAACTGAACAGTATAACACTAGGCTCCTAGTATGCTAATAAAGCTTCTAGTTTCTTTTTGCCTACCTCACCATCTGCACTCCCCTTTTCAAAATCATGGATCCACCCATGGTTATTCCTATATAGAAGTGCATATTTCATTACAAAGCAACAACTTTAATAATTCAGCGTTTGACATATGTCTATTATCCTGATTCTTGTAGCTAATTTTTTTCTTTTATATGACGCTCAGGTGGAAAAATGTGTGGCCAACTAAGTATAGAAGCATTTGTAGTTAAGGCACACTTGTTTCCATTGCTAACAGTGTAGAAGGGAGTGGAGTAATAATGCATTCCCACACTGCTGCCACTGAATTCCCTGCCTGCATAACCAAGTACTCATTTATAATAGGGTTAATTTGTGGCAGCCTTTATCACAAGGTTGAAGTGACACTTAAACTTGCACCTCTGGAGCTATAGCAATATACTTTAACTGTTCTGCCAGTGCCTGTCCCCTCTGCCTCTCCCCACCCCCTCCCCATTATGTAGGACATATCAGCTAAACCTGGATTAATTAGTGTTACTATTTATATTATACAGGGACTACAGACAAGATCAAGACAAGCCTTATCATTTGCTCTTTCTTGAGAATTTGTTTATAATCTGAACAGGATTATGTACATCAGTGGACCTGAATTTGAATATAATTAATCTTTTGTATGACATTTTAGGATTACAACATTCATAGAATAATATCTAAATTTGATAACCAGTGAACTGCTTCAGAAGTAGCTGCATGAATTGATTTTAGATAACCAGTAAATGATCCAACTGGGCAATCATTTACAATGTGTTGCACTGTTTGAAAAATCACACCACAAACACAACCCAGATTCTCTTTGATTCTCCATTTATGGAGTAGGTGCCCACATTTTCCATGAAGTGTCTGGATGCAATTCAGGGAGAACCAAATCTTTCTCAGCAGGTCAAATCCTGGCTGGAAAACTGTAGGGTCACTGATGATGTATTTCTCTAGCAGGTTAGTATTTGCCCAGGCTTCCCTCCATTGTTCTTCAATGCTCTTGTAAGCATCATAGAGCTTCTTGGTGCATTTTCAGAAAGGTTTTCTAGATTTATGGGCCTATCCGGTGGTGGCGTGGTGATGTTCTTGTTGATTGGGAGGTTTGGGTTACCTATGGCCTTATAGTATTTCCTCACGCATGTGGTATCATAGCAGATTTATGGGGGAGTGTGAAGAAGAACAGGAAAGAGAGATGACACCATGAGCGAGGACAAGCTGGTGGAGAGAGAAAAGACACTACCAAAAGAGGAGAGGGCCCTGGGAGCTACAGTTCTGGAGCAGCTGCTCTGTGCAGCTAGAGCAGCCCCAGAGCGGTGGAAGGACAGTGCACGAGATGGAAGACCATGGAGAGCATGGAGAGTGTAGAGAGACAGATGGCAGGGAGTTGCTTTCCAGGACCCAGGACATTGGGTGGGATTTCCCCAGTGGCAGGGAGCTGGCAAGCAGCTGGCAAGCGAGATCAAGGGAGCTCTATTAGGCTGGGGGATCCCAGCAGCAAGGACACCGGAGAGTGGAGTGGCACAAGTGGCAGGGGAGCTATGCCGGGGATGGGCCAGCCAGGAGAAAAGCAGCAGAGCCCTATTTGAGGTTTTAAATATTTAAATTCTTTTTATTATTATTATTGTTTTTCTGTGCTGCTTGCCATAGCCTCAATTGGCCAGCAGGCTGAAGAGGACAGATTGGCGGAATTCCCACCCCTATAGACAAAAGCGGGGAAATCACCCACTCAAGAAAATTAACACCTAGGTAAGGGTGTATAAGTCCCAGATGGGCTTTGGGTTTTCTTTTGGACTCTGATTTTTTGTTGAACTATTAGAAGGTGCACAACCCTCAAAGAAAGAGGGGAAAGAAAACCCTCTCAAGATGAGTCGTGGGACTTGCCTGAGGCTGAGAAGAAATCTGGTAGTCCGTGTTAATTTGGTTCTGCTGAAACAATTGTCAAGATGCATATGAACCTATATGAGAAAAGACAGCAAAAGACAGATTGCCCATTAAGGCCGACATACATAAGTGGCGATGTAACATCTGGGTGATGCTAGGATAGGATTAGGAGTCATTGGAGCCCCAGAAGTAACTCAAGCCAGTTTGCTGTTTCCCAGCAGTGGTGAGCATTAGCACCTCCCAATTGATACCATCCTAAAAACATCAAAATGTGGCAGATGAGAGTCAGGAGAGTTGGCAGTACAGACAAGTGCTCGCAAAATCAATAGCCAGGGCAGGGAAGGTACTGTGGGTACCCTGCGTGTAGCTTTAACTAGGGCAAGCCCTGACAGGGAGCAATGTTTGGTAGGACTAAAACCCATGGCAATGGCATACTTTTTAGCATTCCTGATATAATCTACATAGCTGCATTTAATTGCGTATCAACAATCTTTGTGTGCATGCTTTTGTTCCATAGTGAGGAGCAATGTTTTGCTGCAGAGAAAAAAAAAGTGCTAGAGTGGCCATTTGAAGTGTGGTTGCATTTGCTCCCCATGTTTTTCTGGCCGGTTTATGCACAAAGTTAACTCATACATATCTACTAACTTTGATATATTAATATATCTAGTATATTTCAACAATATGTACATTGTGTAGTACTAGCCAGTGGCTAAAGCTTGAAGTTAGGTCACCATTTTTCCTATGCTGAGAAAGCTTTTAGAGAACAAGAAATCATAGCACCTTTCATACTCCAGATATCAGTATGCCCTAATGTATTTATAGTCACTGACTGATTTTGCAGGTATCTGTGGAGTCACCAAAGTGAATTCAACTATTAGGCACAAGCAGATTGGGTTCCAGGATTATTTGACGTTTGTGCACCAACCTAAATTTTGAGAGATGCCTTTCTAAAAAATGTTAGATTTTTTCATGTGAAAAATACTGCCTCTGTTTAAAGTCCCAAAAATTAAAAAACAAATTTCTTATCTAGCACAGGCTTTTAGAAAATACTCTATTTTACCTAAGAAATTCAGGAAGGAAATATTTGAAGGAAGGTGGTAGGAAAGACATACATCAAAATCAGTTTAGAAAGAAGCAGATTACAACCTGAACTGAAGACCATAGTGCCTCTAAAATATTTTGAGTCCTATTATTTTTCTGTCTTAGAGATTACTTTAAACCAGTCATGACCCTCCCCTCAATCTGCAAATAGATGAAACTCTGGGTGCTGATCTCCCATCTTCAGAGTAGAAAGGAATTCATACAGGCAACCCTATAGTTCTATCCTACCCTCTACCCCCTCCCCCAACTCCAGCTCCTCAACACACTTCTAGTGTAGAGAAGAACATAGACAGGTCATCCTAGGAAGGATGTAGTATCATTTTCTCTATCTTCTGTTTCCATGGTGGGTCATAGGAGGAAGAATTATTTACCAAATATTCTGATGCTATGAGAGATTAACACCTCACCAGGGCAACAAA